AACATCGAGTTACGCCCAACTTCATCCACAAAAAGCGACTCCACAAAACGTGCGGCCTCCCCGAGCAAAGCAGAAGATTTCAACAAATCGAACAAGACCTCCTACGCGCAGCTCTACGAGTGAAGAAAAACCAAATGTTCATGTTACTGTCAAAATGTGATTACAAAGAGCAGTGTTGTGAACGTATTCTGCCTGAACGTCTTTGGAGGAGATTCGTGGGTGAGTCAAAGCTCATTTGCAATCTTATTCGCTTTGATGTCAAGACTAGACTTAGGGGAAATTTGAGAGATTAGTTAGTGCAAGACAAAGTCAGAGTTCGCAAGTAGTTAGTACGCGCCTAGCTTCGAATTAGCAAGACTGTTTTGAGGACAGCTCTGTAGACGTGCCAAAAGTTCAACGTGTGTCTGTTATCGGTAATACGCTTATCGTGCCAAAAGTTCAACGTGTGTCTGTTATCGGTAATACGCTTATCTCCAATGACATGCTGTCTGTCTTGGATCTAGGCCAAGTTTCTCACCTCTCCAATCAATAGGGCCTCGGGTCTCACGCAAGATCGTTGGCAGCTTGCAATTTGTTCACGAATCACTACGGCGCCGAGCGAAAGAGGAACAGCGCGCAAACGGCATCGAATCTGTTGCAACGGTATCTTTGCCTCCAATACCTTACCCTCGCCGCTGTTACAAACCACAAGAGCCCAGCAGCATGGTAGACACTCAATTCGCGTTTTCCCACTTCGGTGTTCACCGTTATCGACAAATTTGCCACAAAACGCGCAATTAGTGATTTAACTCCTGCGCAGCGCCGCGGCCTACGCGAAATCCGTGACCTATGCGACGCCAGGTTGGTCAAGGTTTCAGTTAGCGATAAAGGTGGGGAGTTTGTTGTTATGTCACGTGAACTGGACATGGCGATAACCCAGCAACACCTGTCGGATGTCTCAGTCTACGCACTCTCATCAGCTGGCGAGTTTGGAAAGCAGTACCGCCGCTCAAATAGGGTCTGGTGGAAACTGCGCGATCTGCGGGACTTACAAGGGGCATAGTAACGCGTTCTAGGAACGATTAGATTTGTCCAGTCCTCTACACACTGGTCAAAACACATAAACCTCCCGCAGTAGAATTAACTTCGAATAATGCGGACGATTTCAAAGTGCGACCCATTATTAGTGGCGTTGGCGGGCCAACAGACAAAATAGCGTGGTTTTTAAACATAATTCTTACGCATCTGCTAAAATATCCTGCGCATCTTAGTAACACTAATATGCTTCTCAACCGGCTAATCAGGCAACTCACCCGGGAGTGCATCATTGAGTCTTTTGACGTCACGTCGCTGTATACAAATGATGCTGCGCTTCAGGCTACCTACGAGCTTCTCTCGGAGCATCAGGCTGCTCTTGACTTACACGGTCTCAGTATTTGCAACATCATGACCCTTCCTTAGGAATGCTTACGCTGTACGGTGTTCCAATGGTCGGGGTACTACAAACAGGTCAGGGGCTTAGTAATGGGACAGCGGCTTGCACTCACTTTAGCTATTATTTTCATGTCTAAAATAGAAGCGCCGGTATTAGAGCGTAAATCCCTTTTTGGTCGGTGTATAGACAACTGTTGCGTCATATGTCCCACCCAAGCGGAGGTAGACACTTGCTTTAGCATACTAAATCAACAGTCGCCAAACACCGTCTTCACTAGGGAAAAGCCCTCCGGGGAATTGTTAGCCTTTCTAAACGTGCAAATTCAGCTTGCAGGTGGAGCGTACAAAACAAAATGGTATCGCAAACAAATGGTATCCAGTAACAAAAGCACCCTCATACATTCTTCATCCGCGCACAATAGGATGAAGAGGGCTATTGTGGGTAACATGTACAAAACAGCTGTTCAAGTATCTTCCAGCAGCAAAGAACACTGTGGTCCATCGCCGTCGCTCGAGGGATCGCGGCACCCAACGGCTATGCTGCTCGTGGGCACACCCTGGAAGCATATTGGTGCTCTCGGGGCAGAGCTCGCAATTCGAGCAGTGCCACAGAAATCCCGTCCTGCCTGCCATTCATCTCTGATCTGCTGAGCAGTGCAGTGCGGCGGTGCGTATATCAGGCGGGTCTGCAAGGCTTTGTTAGGGTCGTCGATATTCTTTCCGCAAATTTTAAAAGACGATTGATTAAAAGACGATTGATTCGAAACCGTGCTTACAATCGCTTCTGTTCAACTCCTAACTGCGTGGGGAGGACGTGCGTTATACTACAAAGACCTCGCCGCCAAAGCTCGCCGCCATAGTCGGCTGGCTTACTGTATCCCGCACCCATTTTGCACCGGTGAGCCTGAGCCATGAGGCAATCGTGCGGACGCAGCCTCGTCAGCTTTGTCGCGTTGCGACGTCGCGCCGATTCGCGAATTTTACAAAAAGTTACATGAAAATACTCAGAAAAAATTCCTCTATACAGATTTTGACGTGCGATATCGTCCGTCGCACAGCATAAGGGGTGAAAATTTCAATAAAAAACTTGTTGATTTCCTGTTTTGTATTTGATTCATGTTCATTTTTAAGTAAAATTAAGGAAAGAAAATCTAGCATCAGCTACCTACTTTTGTCCTAATAAGTTGAGTTTGCACGTCATCATCGCCGTGTTACCAACCTCAACTTGCAGTCTAGGCCACAGGTCACAGCTTGCGGCGACAAATTGAGTATCTATACCATGGCAAAAACAAACGTGAAACAAAAAAAGAAAACTGAAGAAACACTAGAGAGTTTCCAAACGAATCTTTTGTTTTTATTTGGGAATTTAAACGAACATGAATCAAATAAAACAAGAAATCAACAAGTTTTTCTGAAATTTTCGCATTATGCGGCGCGACGGACGATATCGCACGTCAAAATCTGAAAGAGGAATTTTCTCTGAGTATTTTCATGTAACTCCTTGTAAAATTCGCGACATCGGCGCGACGTCGCAACGCGACAAAGCTGACGAGACTGCGTCCGCACGATTGCCTCATGGCTCAGGCTCACCGGTGCAAAATGGGTGCGGGATACAGTAAGCCAGCTCTGCGCGCGTGCCAACTATGGCGGCGAGCTTTGGCGGCGAGCTCTTTGTAGTATAACGCCACGCCGCCACTGCGTGGTGTGCCCATGGTAGGGAGGGTAATTGCATGCTACCCGGTATTGTACATCTTATCACATGTTTAGCATGCGGCGATACATACATTAGTGAAACGGCTGCCCTCTCTGTTGTGGCGTTAAAGAACATATGGACAGCTTAAATGATTTAGAAGCAGCCACTCCATTGGGCAAGCATCGTATAGTGCGCTATTATACAGCTGAAATTTAAATTGCGGTGCAAATCTTGTCGTTCGAGCCCGAGATCCTTGCGCGCTAAACGTTGGAAGCGTTTTGGATAAACGCCAGAAACCCAATAATAGAAAGGAGGAGTGCATCGTTATCACAAAGAACTGGCGCCATATCAATCCCTATATTCGAATATGAGGTCAGATCAGAACGGCATATATAAATAGAGCTGAGGCATAGTCTTGCATACACGGAGGTCTTTCAACTCCCGTTTTGCTTCTGGCTAAGGTTAGTATTGCTCTTGTTGCTCTGACTGAGTTTTCATGGCTTTTTCTCGAATAGTCCTCTGTGTCCTTTGTTGACATCTGAGGGAATAGATCCTAATGAGTTCGACTTCCAGGCTCTGACGAAGGGGACAGCGCCGAAACGTAGGCCATGTACAATAATAAACTGTGTACTATCTTGGTCAACCGCTTAAACCACACCTCCATCGAGTGTATATGTACGGCTACGGGATTATCTTAATCAAGTAATTTTCCGCGCATGACCATATTCATAAGTAAGCTGATGGACGGTTTGAATTTGAGCAGCAATCCGGTTGCAAGTAGGACCCTAAGGCAATTAGAATGACAGCATTTCGTGCTTTAGCAGTCGTCCATCAGGTGTTTACTGGGATGACGTACAGTTTGTGTTAATCACGTACCATTTTTCGCGCAGCCGAACCTTCATGTCAGGTCAAACTGTACCCCGAGCAATACAAACGCGAACCGTGGCGCGAAGCTCTACGTGACAATTCTGCCGATGGAGAAGGAAGTGCGTGATTGACATTGGTTGTATAACGCAGCTGTTGCTACGATACGGTAGCCGACGACACCAAAGCCATGCCTTGTACTTTTGGTTGAAACAAACAGTACTCGTCATCAAACAACTTGGGGCATTTGACTTGCAAACGTGAAACCTAAGGCGGTATTTATCATTCTCCCACTCGCTGTTCGGGCCATCATTAACGAGTCCCCGGACAGGCGAGAGCGCCATCCCTGATTTATGTAATGGAGGGTGTGGCCTAAACGGGCCCAGGGGCCGACCTGTCGAAATCGGGCAGGCTCGATCGGGTACCTGCCGTGCCGACATGGCCGAACTTGCCAAATCAGACCATATCTTCAAATAGACAGGAGGCCGATCATCAGCTCAGCTTCGTGTACTTGGGCACCAGTGCTGCCCTCCGCCTACCTGTACTGCAATCCCATCCCATATAGGAGATTGATAAATACCGCCATGATGGGAGCGGTGACAAATCTCTCGAGGGCAAAGTACGGGCAAGGATGGCGCATGGCGGGAGACGGTCAAAAGGCGCGATGTCTCTGGCTGCCACCAACTTGAAACTCCAGTTTAGTGCTATCCGAGTCTTCAAAAATTACCGGATAAAGTGCATTAGCTTAACATCTGTCTGAGGTCACCACTTGCTGAGTTTTATGGTTTTTTCTATAAATCGGACTGAAATATCGACGAATTTGTTCTGAAATGCATTTTCATGAAATTTTGACCTTAACGATTGCTCTTTTGAGTTTTATCTAGGGTACCACAATTGAACAACTCATGCAACTATCTAATATACCTTCTTCTAAATTTCATATACTTTTAGAAAGTTGCGAGCCACTTATTATGTGCTATTTGGTGTCCAGCTGGCAATAAAAATCGCACCTCTTGACATATACCCGCGCATGGCGGCTGCACCCATGGAAAAGTAAGTAAGTGATTAGCACACGCTTTAAGCATTGTTGGCTTTTCACATACTCAATAGGCGTATTGAAAGTGCACTAGTAGGTACATATTAATTATTTTTGATGGATGCACGCTCATTGTTTTATATCATATAGGGCATGCACTGACCTGGAAGCAGCTGATTTACCGAATGCATATTGCTCAGTAAATGTACAAATGATGCTTCGTATTATCGGTCGTCGAGTTCTCCAGTATGGTTCGCTGGCACAAAGGCACACCTTCGATCCGTGGAAATGTCTGCCTTCTATTTATACTCCTTTTTGCAGTAAGTCTATAAGTTTGTGTTCATAATACATAAATACTCAATATCAAAGGTGGCACCAGTCCTGGGATGTGGAGGAATTTTTCGCTGCTGCTTTAAAGGCAATAAAAACAAGCATTGGGCGCAACCAAGCGAATATGATGAAGAATTGAGTGAAAAGGTGGCAAGCCTGTTTCCGGTTGGTTTTGTGATTTTCAATAATTTTTGCTGATAAATATCCACGCTATGTGTGATTAGCAACCTACGAAGAGGGAACTCAAAAGTTACATTTTCTAGGACGGTGTCAGTTTCTGCCCTTGGTGCGCTATGAATTGTCGGTGGATTGAATTTGTTAGAGTTGTGTTAGTTGTTCCTCAGCAATACAAATCATCGTCTAATGCTCATGGTTTGTTTCAGTAATGATGAAAAAACATGGGAAAATCTTCGTAACCTAACTGAACAAATTGACTTCCAGTTGCGTGACGTGAGTACATAACTAAACTAGCTTCAAATTAGTTAGAAAACCTACTCAGAAACGCTACCTCAGCAAAAAGTACACATCAAAGTTCAGAATCTTTGCCCGAAGTTTTGCTTTGAATCACAGTTAATCCCAGCTTTGGAGGACAGCTTGAAGTTGTAATAACCCGCGCAGAGTCCATTCGCTGCACCTTTACTGAATATTCCGCGATGCAACAATGTTTCGTTTTCAGGTGAGACGTTTTGACGAGAGTAACCGGATAAGTATTGCATGTCTTCGCTATAAGGGCAGCAGCCAGTGGAAGATTGGTTGCTTTGTCTACTTGATGAAAAACCAAGGACGACGCGATACCATGGCCCTCCCTGAAATGCTGGAAAAACTCTGTGATCCTCAGCGAAAGCCTATTATTTACTCCAGTGAGATGTTTGTAAAAAGCGTTAGACATTGACTAGTATTTGATTCAAGTAGCTCCAGAAATCATTGTTTCGAAGAAAGACTGAATATTGAAGCATATAGAAATCCTTACTATAATATAACAATGAATCCTTCCAAGCGCTACGACAGACTCTTCTGCGTCCTTCCTATCTTTAACCCCATGCATGAAGGAGGGTCCAGTTGCTGAAGGAATGCCAGAAAAAGGAATGCGAAAATATAGCGGCGCTAAATGATGACGAGAGCAGATGCCAGCAGCCATTACGTCGGCGAGAGATTGGCTTGCAATATGAGTCCCGCGGCGGAGCGGGTATTTTCAACTTTGAGGTATGCGGCTAAGAATTGGACAGAGGTGTATGTGTGCAATCTGAATACAAAAACATTGGATTGAGTTGTCGATTATCTATTCGCTACCTTTATCGATCTGTTGCTGCACTTGCTATGTGTTGAAATAGCAGCTTATATGGTAGCGGAAATGGTTATGTACGGACTTTAGTTATCGATCTATTCAATTTTTTTGTAGTTTAGTTTTCGTTTGCAAGGGGAAGTCATAGCCGGCTTTCTGTCTCATTTGTCAGAGAAAGTAGTGATTGAATTTGATTTTCCAAAACATCCCATTACCAAAAAATCTAAAAACTGCAACAACAAGAGCAAGAGATATGATTTCTATATACTTCTAATCAAAATTTTTTGGTTGAAATAAGTACGTAGTTCGAGCGCTCTATAGCAAGTTGTGATTTTCGAGCAAACAATACAATAAAAATCAACGAAACTGGTTGTTTTGTGGCATTTTTTAAAATATTCTCTCGTTAATCGACAAGAAGTTTGTTCATCTAAAAGAAAGCTGTAGAAAAGTCAGCTGTTTGCATTTCTATTTGTGATTATTTTGTAAGACGTTTCACCGAGAGAAGGTTGATTGTTGGTTTCCGCTCTTACTATTGATTACATATAACATTTAAGGGATGTCTGCCCCTACTTGCTAGCGATCGGTAAGTTATCCTGAGCTCTACAAAATATCTGCCCCCACTTGTTAGCGTATCCTAGGGTCATCTGAGCACCGCATTACAAATTATCTGCCCTCACTTGCTAGCGATCCGTAGGGTCAGCTGGGCACTACAAGATATCTGCCCCCAGAGAAAGCGTGGTAATTAAAAATTCTCCCAAAGTCTCGCATGGTTCACTAATAAACCTAATGTTGTACCTGCCCCGACCCACTTGCCGTAGTTGTTGACAATTATTCTCAGAAGTTGAAGTTCAAGAGAAGAACATTTGTCTACTACCTAGTATTGCATTTCGCTGATGAAGCAGTGAAACCTTAATATGCGACAGCTTTGACTTTCACATTGTCAAGCGCCTGCTCTCTCATTATTATGCCATTCAAAGATCAACATCAATTCTTTCAATCGATTTTCTTACAAGAGCTGGAGCGCTGAGAGTTGGTACAGAAAGGTAAGTAAGCGTGCTGATTACGAAAACACACTAGGAATAGGGTAACATATAATGGAGTGGAACCGGGAAGTCGCCCAGAGAAGGGACGGATAGGTGGAATTCGTTTATGGTATTATATTGATAAGAACAAAGCGGAGCCATGTATGTATGTAAAACAATTTTTTTAGCGTAGCAAACAAAATGTCGAAAAAACAATCTTGACACACTGAACTTTGGGTACATATTGCGTAGGCTGTCGTTTGAGTAATGCACTAAAAATCAAGCAGTTGGTACTTGGCTTTTGTACATATGATACATCTGCAGTTGTAACACAGCTAGTTACATACAACAGTGTTTCATTGTTTAGGAACAATCTTGATGTGCTAACTCCAGCATCGATTCCAGATATATGAATCGCGTCAGAGCTATAATATCATTAACATTTGATATCAAAGCACATGTTTGCTTTTTACACTTTTTCTGCTTCATATTTGAAAGCGCTATGTAAACTCAAGGGTCTAAGTTGCTGCTGTAAACTTGTTTGGAATAAAATGTTCATGGGTTCTGTAGATTGCCAAAATTCACCAATCATTCTCTCAATTCTGTAAATGAGCATCCAGATAAATTTCTGCCGAGGATAATGTGTGGGCGCAGTTCTACCGGAAGTTACTTACTAGACCTTTCTTTGTACAAAATGCGCTGCACCATCACAGAAACACTTCCACAAAAATTATGCTTACTGTGTACAGCTATTTCGCGTATGTGCTATGGATCGAATATTGACCTCTTACATGATGACAACATGAAAAAAATCAACTACTCTTCTTTGAGTAAGCATAAAAGCAACATTGTAAACAAATTCGAGTAAATTGACATCACTTCCTTCTCTTACAGTATCTGCTATCTAACTGTCTATCTATATATCTGTCTACCTGACTTAGTGCTTATGAGGACAGTTTCGCATAGTTTTTGGTCTTTCAGGTCCCGAAAAAAGCGCTGTACGGCGAAACGTTAGTCCAAGTAATGAAGATTAAGGCCAATCTTGGCTACTGCTCAAACTACACAACAAAGTTACATCAATTCTGCGTTCATTTGCGTTTCTAGATTTTTGACAGGCCTGTTGATAGGGTACAAAATGCGGCTCCTGATAGCTTGAATACTCCTTCAAAGTTTGTTGGATATTCTGCAGTAGGAATGAATAATTCGGCGACTTACTCTACGCTACAAATAAATCAAAGCCAGCTCTACAAACTGGTGACCATAGCTTCTCCAAAACTTTCAGGCAAGGGAGTTACTAACAGTCGAATAGCAGGCACATAATTTCGGGACACCCTGTATTTATTAGGCTGGAAACTAAGTTTTGCTGGTTTCATAACTTCACTTCATTCACATGGCGCAGTCAAACTTTGGCATTATGTAGAATGCAATGTGAGCTACAAGTGAGCATAAATAGTCTAAATTTTGAACACGAAATAGAAAAATTCAGGTGTTTTCCGAGAACTAGTGAAATTTGAGAATATTTGGGGTTTCAAGCTAAAATGAAGCCTTTTGCAGCCTAGACCATGCGCAGTAATCCGGATTCGTCTGCAAATTACTGCTGGAGGTTGACTCCTTTGGTCTATTAAGAAAGAAACAAAATTTAGGGACATGTCGAGATTTGGCGTCCTCATCAAGTCGAACGAGTCGATGTACGCAAGAGCTGCTGGGGACGACCGTCAGTGACTAAAGAGTCCGAAGCTCAAATTTCGCCAAGACTTTGCATAGTAAGGTTATTTGACCTGCCAAACGCGAATATCGCATTCATTTGTTGATTCAACGCCTTTTTCCTTGTTTAGGGTGAGACCCATATCGTACACCTACGGTAATCTTACAAAAAGCCCTTATCACGATCAATATCGTTTTCGTGATCAGCATGTCGGATAACACCCCTTTGCCAAGTTTCAGCCAAATCCGTCAAACTTTGAATTTTCCCCTTCATACCATGCACCTACCGTAACCCTCACTGCGACGTCAGAATTTGGTAGGACAGCATCTGCGCTTGTAGCTTACGTAATAACCAACGCAGTGGCAAAATTTGGGTGCGCCATGTTGAGTGAGAGGGAAGTTATGAGACCAGTTGCAAAACTTAGTCTCCAACCTAATATTAGATTGAACGGAAAGTTCGCTAAAAGATTTCCCATTTCAAACATAAGCAAGTGATATACAAGAATACAGTCAAGGAGCGAGTGGGTGAACTCTCAAACGGTGACGATAAAACTCAGAAGGAACGGGTGCGAAATTTGGCGCGGTTTTCAAGTTTATCGCTTTCCGATTGCTTTTAAAGTTTCGGTGATACCATTCTGAAATACGTAAGGAGAAAAAGTGTGTGTCTGAAAAATCGCCATTCAGGTTTATCCTACAGTCCTTCGAACAATGTGTTTAATCACCGCTGGGGGAAGCAGGGGGCGGGGGAGGGGGAGGAACTGTTGCAAACTGTTGATTATTGCATTGCTGATGATCTCTTGTTCCATATGCAAATTCGCCCCTTTACTTTTTTTTTTCGAAAAACGCTGCTGAAGTCATATTCAAAGGATCGGTTACTTTATTAGAAACTCTTTTCACCAGTAAATGCACTTTGATGGTGTCATGTAAATAAAACATGCAAAATATTTAATCTTGATATAGTACAGAAAACAAAATGCGTATAAAACCCGTTTTAGCACTTGGCTAGTATTTTCTTCGCTTCATCCAGTCGATCACGTTCATCTTCGTCTGTAGGCGTAAGAGAAAGTAATTTATTGCAATATTTCTTCGTATTTTCCTAAAAAACTTATCAGTCTTCCTCCACGTTCCCTCACTTCAGTAGGGAGTTCATTACCTTGTCGTTCTTTGCATAGTGAATACGAACAATGTAGATGAGATTTTCTATCCACTCGGGCTTTTCTTCCTCAGCGGCTAAGAAATCAACCAAAGCTTCATCCATAGTAGCTGAAGGTGGCGTGGCGTAAAAACAGCAGCAGCCTAGATTCCTTAAATTTTTTGCCGAACTCAAATTTTTTTGAAGAAGAAATTCACCTTTCGCTCAAACCAGGACAGGCTAGCAATTGAGTAGGAGTATCTGCCTCGCATATGTAGCAGAGTAAATTCTCTGGCTTCCATTCCCAGGGCTTTATCGAGGAGTTCCTTTGATGAGCTCTATCAAAAACTTCCAACCCTCGAAAATCAACTCCTTTTTCCTTCCTTTATCACTCGTGCGCGCAGCAAGTTCATGGCAGAATTTGGCAAGTCTCCAAAGCGATTCAGATGAATTCTCGCCAGCATCGTAACGCTGGAGAAAGAGAACGGTTTTAGCGAAGCGGAATAATCATACTGAATATAAATCCAGCAGCAGCCCTTTTGCACCATTACAGTATGGTACCGTAACACTGATGTTTGTAAAGTGTGTTGTCACGTGATACTAGAAGCATCTCATATTTAGAGCAAATATTAGGTCTTTCCAAAAGTTCTCGTTTTTTCAAACTATCATAAAAACACGTGGAATGATGACAGGGAAACGCTTTAGGATCCATCCCACGCAGCTTTTCTTCCTCTTTTTACCTTTCGTATTACTGTGCCGCTGGCTCTTGTGGCTGGTGAGGTAACGGCTGAAAATTTGAACCCATGGTTTTTACCACGTCCAAATTTGGCAATTTTTATCAATCTTCTTTTTTGACTTTTGAAAAAGCTTCGATAACAGTCAGGTAGAGTAAACAAATTGCAATGTAATGCGATTTTTTGGCATCTATAACTGGCCTTAAAAATTTTTTAGAATTGATTTTCTGATGCTATCGAATCCAACTTTTGGTGATGCCAAGAAACATAGAACATAAAACGGCGCACAACTAAGGTGTCATTCGATGCAGCTTTTCCTCCTCTTTCTATTGAGTATTTTTCTCCCAATTTGTAGGGGGGGGGGTTGGCGATAAAATTTTAGTAATTCTTGATTATGAACCCGCCTAAGGGTGTACACGTGAAATGCGAAATCTTACAATTCGAAGCGGTAAAGGCTCAGTTCCTTTGTATAAATAGTGGACAATCATAAACGACTTTTGAAAGTGTCGAAATCCGAAGATTTGTTTATATTCGGAGCGTTTGTGTGTTTTGTGACTTCGAGAAAGTGAAGACTTCTGGAAAAGTTATCTTAAAAATTATTGAGAAGCCAGTTGAAATTGCCGAAAAAGTGCATTGCATTGCACTTTGTTTACGTTATGCAACTGCTATCAAAGCTTTTCCAAAAGTTGAAAGTGAAGATAGTGAAAAATTGCCAAATTTGGACATGGTAAAAACGTGGGTTCGAAATTTCAGCCATTATCTCACTAACCACAAGAGCCAACGGCACAGTAATACGAAAGGTAAAAAGAGGAAGAAAAGCTGCGTCGGAAAGATCCTGAAGCGTTTCCCTATCTTCTTCACTCCACGTGTTTTAATGATAGTTTGAAAAAACAGAAAGAACTTTCGGAACGACCTAATATCAATTCTTTTCATAGCTTTGCACAGCATTCAAAACTTCGCAAATCTTGCCTAAGGGCAGCGAACATTTACGGTAGCATACGGTATATGGTGCAGAAAAGTCTATACCTCTAAAACTCACCTTTTTTGAGCATGTCATAACCAGGTCGAACATTCTGCGCCGAAAATCTCATCAACGTCAGCGAAAGACTGAAAATTGTTAGGCTTTCAAGCTATAGAAATAAGCCGCCATATCACTTTTCTTGTTTTAAAGAACATCAGCGCTTATTCCAAGGACATGCCCTCCCCCTGTTAGATGTTCTTGTTCGAGTTCAACTCACCATGACTATGGCTGAGTATCAACGGGACGAGGTAGGCGGAGAGAATGAATAGTTACCAGTTTGTAGCAGGAGTTTAAGAAAAGAATACTCACTGATAAGTTCATGATGGAACTTAATTAGTTAAGTGAACGATTAACTGTTTGTTTTAATGCTACGGAGCGTCACAGAATTTGAAGAAACTGGAATGAAAATGAAGGGCATGTGATAAGCAAATATAGCAGATATTGAGTAGCTTTCAGAAAACTACGGGATTTATAGGACTAGGTTTAGTAATAGAGAGAAACAAAGCAATTAAACGAAAAGAAAATAAATATATGTATAAATTATGAGTAAGTGGAATGGCAAAATGTATGGGCTAGCGGTAAAAGAAAGTGAACAAAACTTATCACTCACATTTATTTATGAAGTTTAAGCTTATGAAGGCCCGGATCTGACTGCACAGCAAAATTTTGTAGCGAAAGCAAGTGACAACTTTGGAAACTTTCATGCTAGAGGGACACGCAAATAGATTATCTCAAGTAGAATTGTGAAAAAAATACAAGAAAAGAGAGGGCCAGAAGCAGGTGTGGATGACCACTGACCCGAAGGGACCAAGTTTAATCAACTGCTAAACGTTTTAGCTGGTAAAAAAGCTAAATGCAGCAGAGAAGGAAGATCTTCAGACAAGTTTGCTGGCAATATGCCTTCATGACCTTGATTAGCAACATCTACAGACAGAAAACAAACTTCAAAGATCAAACATAGTTAATCTATTATAGTTTGTTCTATGATTATAGCATGCGAGACCGACGGGCACCGTTGAAGGAAAGTGAACCGGTTACTGCAACGTTCGAACAACATAAATGGTGGATGTCAACGAGCAACAATGGAAGTTTATTTTGTTCATACTTATAAAGAGACATTTTGAGAAGTACAAGGCTAGCCAAAAGTTTATTGTATTAGGTTGTCCCGAAAGTTTTGTCGGTTTTTTCAAACCACTATAAAACCACGCAAAATGAAGAACTGAATGAGTTTCAACATGCATTCGATGCAGCTTTTCCTTCTCTTTCTTATGGTTACATTTAGGAGCCAAGATCCTGTATGGTTTTTTTAATAATTGCCACGAATCTTCACTCGTCATTTTTATCTGCTCAGAGTTAGGCTAATTTTTGAAAATTTTATTCCAAAGTTTTGGAAAGGACTAAGCATGGCACAAATAGAACAATTCTCGGACTATACGGTAATGTTTTTAGATTCCCCTAAGTTGCTGTCTATAGCTTCAAAGAATTATTTTTTCGGAGATCTCGATTTCTGGCAGAACCATGGAACACACAACTGCGGCAAAAACATGAAAGCTTCTGGAATTTTTGCGAATTGAAACTTGATTGCTAATAACCATTATTTATGAAACACATCCAAGTTTGATTTGTTTTGAAAAAGCAGCTTTTTGGAATTTTAGGTGATTTTACGTGGTAGACGTAATCAAAAAGAGGTGATTTTTTTAAATTAATAATTATTTAGGACTTGAGCGTGACCCATGTAATCTAAAGTAAGTATAATGTAGCCGAAGAATGGCTCTACATAATAGTTATAGCGCTTTTCGAAAGTAGCAGGAGAAAAATTTTTAAAATTCAGAAAAGATTTGGGGTTACTGCTAAGATGCTCAAAAAACCATGGCGATAACATTACGAAGACAGCGTAAATCAGAGAGCAAATATAGCTGTAAGAAAGAGAATGAAATTCTGTTTCAAATGATACCTAGACCTTCCATGAATTGGTGTTCTGTGGGTTTTAGTGAGCGATGGAAAAAACCGACAAAACTTTCGGGACAACCTAATATGTCTCAAGAGAAGTTTATGTAAATGATTGGTTGTAATTATTTTTTTACAAGCAGTTTCATAACGTAACACAGGTCAACTTCAGAGTCTTCACAGATGAAAAAAAAATCTATGGAAGCAAAAAAGAAAGCGCATGATTGCTAAATCGGTAGAAAAATGTTGCGTGTCAGATTACGAAGGTTAACTGGACTAGTTTCTGCCCAAGATGAAAAGCTTAGTTTTCGCCAAATATCATCGAGATGCACTTGATATGACCATACAATTTTTTTCGAAATGATAGGGACAAGCTATTTGGCCCATAGTGGGTACAGGGCTCGGCACGAGGTGGCTTTCCAAATGCAAAACCAAGTCCCTTGACTTTCGCACTTTAAGAAGACTCCTTTGACCCTTTCCGAAATATCCGAATTGACTAAAAAACGAAACGTCTGCCAAAATAGACTGGATTCGGACCCACAAAAACGATATTCTCTTTGCTTTTTGTCCCAAAAAGATATCCAATTTGCTCATAAGCCACCTGTGCCGAGCATTGGATAACGTTATAATTCGAAAGCTGAGCAATCACAAAGTTATGTGGCAGCTGGAAACGATGCATAACAACTATCCTCATACAAATTCGAAATTCATATTTGCTGACACAACGCTGACACACAAATAGCTGTGAGAGAGGAGAGCATTCACGGCAAATAATAAAAATGATATCCTTTATCACTAACCTAGCTTTGAATTATTTTATTTAGAAAAGCATGCAAAAACATCGACTAGACTCAAGTTTTGCAAAAAAAATTCTTTTCCATAGCTGTACACAACCAAACCTGGACTGAAGCTATAAATCAAAATTTCCGTCCATTGCATGTTTGATTGTGAGCGCAAATTCAATAGTTTTATCAAAGGAAGCAACAGTGGAGTACAGAATGGAAAAGTTTAAAGGGCAGACTGAAATAAAATTTAAGGCCCTTACATACCGGCAGTAAAATGAACAGGTTGCTATGAACAAGTCGCGTTGTCCGGAAAAGTTTATTCAGTGAAAAGAATTCAATGAATCCTGCCTGCTCTGATGAAGAAAATGTCCATAACATAGAAGTCAGAGGCTACAGCAACAGTCAGTGTGCGTCCTCGCCTAGAGGGCCGGGCATACTTCACGCGATTTCAGTCGCGACCGATTTGGCAATACTCCAACTGTACATAACCCTCTGTAAGCATATTTTGAACGTACAGAAAATAGGGCATTTTATCAATCCACGTAAGTTATACACACGATGCATGTGTGGTTTGCTAGTGTTGGGTCTGAAGACTTCTGGCCGACTGCCAAATCGCGTCGCGACTGAAATCGCGTGAAGTATGCCCGGCCCTTAACTCACATAAACCAGTTTAGTAATGGTTAGAAAACCAGCCGAGGTCTGAGTCAAATGTTTTCACAATCGCCTACATATAGTGGCCTGTGAAAAAAGTGGTTCATAATTTTCTCGTCATAAATCGAATGTGTAGGACGTTTGAGAATAATATTAGGTTGGCACGAAAGTTCTGTCGCACCATTTTCAAGAATTCATAACTTTTGATTTCTTCAACTGATTTAAACTCTTTTATTTTTATATGAAAGAGTAAGTCATGCAATTTATAATGATATCTCACAATTAACTGCTTACTAATGGTCATCTGTTGCATAGATAGGAGCGGTAAAAGAAAATTAGTCAAAATTCGAATTTTTTGTGCAGGGTCATAAAAAATCGGAGAGTAGCACCAAAAATCGGAGCAGTCGGAATTGTAGGCTCCGTTACCAGCTCTTTCTAACTGTGCAAAGTTTGCGCCGATTGAGCGTCTCTATGAAAAGTTATGATTTCTGAGCAAGCAATACAAAAGGGCGAATTTGATTTATTTTGGCATTTTTTAGGAAAATCGTAACATTTCATAGAGACGCTCAATCGGCGCAAACTTTGCACAGTTAGAAAGAGCTGACGAAAGGACCTACAATAGAGACTGCTCCGATTTTTGTTGCAAGTCTCCGCTTAGTGCATGACATACTCTTTCATATAAAAGTAAAAGCATTTGAATCGGCTAAAAAAATCAAAAGTTATGAATTTTTGAAAATGTTGCGACAGAACTTTCGTGCCAACCTAATATTTTTAGAGTCAAATTGCCGCTTAGTTTTCCTGAAAGCGAAGCTTTTATCATCAGGTTAGGTTCATATTAGGCTGTTTCATGTTTTTTCCGATTTCAACACCAAAATAGTAGATACGATACGTTGATTGAAGCTATAATCCATTTTTGAGCGCCATCAAAATCTGCTTCAAACTTCACGTTAAATGCGAAGTAAGCTAGTCCTTGATAGCCTTGTAAATCTTGCTTTGCTCTATGCTAAAGTAATCAAAGCTGCACTCATTACAGAAAATAAACAGCAAAACTATAATATTTTTGTAAGACAGTAAAAATACTATAAGACATCCTACTAAATCTTGCATAAAAATAGCTGATTCACTCGAAATTTTCTGAAACAATGTAAACAAAGCATATTCTACATTTTTTGTAACGAAGAATAAACACTCTCTTTTACTATGTAAAAGATGCTATGCTCCGCCGGGGCCCGAAGTTATGTGTGCCAAGTTTGGTTCGGATCGGTTCAGAAATAAAAATTTCTATTCGAAACATACATACATACATACATACATACAGACACACAAACAGACATTCAGCTTTATATATAAGACTAGCTTGCTAACCCGACTCTGCTCGGCCCTGTCAAAACACTGTAATAAAGCTCATCCCTATCTCTGTACAGTCTTTCCCTGTACCCACCTCTACACTTCATTTCCCGTTCCCTGTGTTGTTTTCGAAATCAGCATGCCCACTTACCCCCCTCCCCCCTGTGCCAACTCCCAGCCCTGTAGCTCGAACTTTGTTAGAAATCAATAAAATCGATTAAAGAAATAGATAATCCTGAAAACCAATATTGCATTCGGAATCAGCATGCTCGATTACTCCCTGTGCAAACTCCCAGCCCCGTAGCTCAAACCTTGCAAAAAATCGGTAAAATCGATGAAAGTAATCGATAATCCTGAAAACTAATATTGCATTCGGAATCAACATGCTCGATTACTCCCTGTGCAAACTCCCAGCCCCGTAGCTCAAACTATACAAAAAATCGATAAAAATCGATAAAATCGATATCGATCGATAACGAAAAGTAGCTTATGACACGCTCCCCGCACCGAAGTGTATGTGTGCCAAGTTTGGTCCAAATCGGTTCAGAAATAAAAATTTCTATTCCGCACATACGTACATACAGACAGACATACAGACATACATTCAGCTTTATATATAAGATTGAATGTTCCTTGGGATTTACAGCTAAAGCCTTATCCGAAAGATCCTGGAAGTAGAGTTGTTATGTGTGTTAACTTATACTATGGTCACAGCGCACAATTCGAGCCTGTGCTGGAACTGCTTCGGAACTGTGGATCATTATGAACACAGCCTAAGGATTGTAGCGTTAATAATGACCAGCTGTTATGGAAAGGGGTTCTAAAAAGGGCGTCAGCCTTTCTAGAGACGGCTCATTTATCTACTTGAGACAAACTATTCATACAATATTCATACCTTGAACTTTGCTCCTTCTTCAATCTTCTCTTTCGGCCCATAATAATCCGTAGCTGACCCCGACATTATTGAGCCCATTTTAGAGCGAGGAAATGGTTCTCACCGGCTTTATGTCCCTCCAAAGCAAAAGCTTTCCCTATAATTCACTGGCATCGAAGTAGAAGAGAGGAGCATTCGAATCAGCTGCGCCAAGGGTTCTCGCATGTGGGCAGAATCAAAATAAGGTTAAAGATAGTTGCGACATTTGTAAAGTGAGAATTTCCATCAATGGTTTTTCCCGCTATTGCGGCGATGCACATAAACCGCATGTTTGCACAATTTCATTACGTAATAAGACAAACTCAAGTAATGGATCATCACTTTCTCCAGAATCTTAGAGCAGCATATCAAAGGGGGTGTTCGCAACTTAACCTTTGATTCAACAGGCTTGGCGGCTGAGAAGCGGGGTTTTGGACCCAATTAAGGCCGCTCGCGCCCGTGACGCAATCTGCATCACTCCCACGAGCATGCTCACTGATCTTACCTAGCCATAATTAGGTCACGAAGCCCCGCCCTCCAGCCGCCAAGCCAGTTGAATCAAAGGGGAAATCTTGTCTGGAGTGGCTATTTGAGGTAAGAATGCTGATGGTGATAAATTTTGATCTAAAAACTGCAGCAACTTTTTCAGTCTCATGGCTTTCTCAGAAGAACAATCCGCAGTCACGGATTTAGATTGAAAATTGATGTGATGCTACTCCCAGCTATATATAATTTTTCATTGGCTTCTTTGATCGAGAGTATTTTCTCGTTGAGTCAGACAAAATGGATTTCTCGTTTTTATTGTGGGGTTGGCGAGAAGCTTCGGAAACTTTTGAAGCAGGGAAGCACCACAAAATCCTTCAACAGTTGAAAGGTCCTAGGAAGCTATTTGTATATAAATATTGGTTATTTTTTCGTTTAGTATAGAAACGCTTACCACTAAACTGACAAGCGCCAAACTGTGCACAAATATGTTCTTGGCACCGTAGGAATTTTGCAAGGGCTACTATCTAAGGATTTGCCGGGTTCTGCTATTGTTTCACTGATTTTTGGCACTCCACAATGAAAAGCGTCGTCTCTCTCACAGTTGCCGCTACCCTTAGTCTGCGTCTGCCCTGGCACGGTGGTTGACATGGTTGACACCTATGGTTGACATATTGGCAACGTGCAACAATGTTGCAACATGCAACATTTTATTGTATGTTGCAATATTTTGTTGCACATGTTAGCAAAACATTTCAGCTGTCAGCCTCAGCATCAACATGTTGCTGCAGGTTGCGAACATATTGACCACGCGTGCTGCAGGTCAGGACGCAGACCAAGGGCAGCAGCAACTGCCGAAGTAAAAGGACGATGTTTTTTTCATTATTATCAAAAAAAACTTCCCACTTTTACGGAAACTTTGGTGATAGAGATCATTTTTATTTGACGGTAAAGAGGCGGTTACTTCAGGTAAATTTGCTGTGACCCAGAAGCGCTCGCAGCGATTGGATGGTCTTAACTTAGGTAGTATAGCAGAGCTAGATCCAAGAGTACAGCCTTCGAGGTGTGTGTGTGGGGGGGGGGAAATACGAAGATTTTGTTAGCTGCATTCTTGTCCAAAACATGTACGCCGTGACCGTACAACACTTTGTATGCCAAGCAGTGAATAAATTTTATGTACTGCACGATAGTTTGACATTCCACTTGCAAGAAAGATGTTTTTGGTCAAAGTGGCATTTCCGGATGAGTTTTATATCATTTTGTAGAAAATCAGACGCTGATACCGGGCCTGACCTTTCTATGTGCTGCGCTCTTCTATACGCTGAGTTATGAGTGATTTTTGGGTCGGAGAATGCACGTATATTTCTTATATAGTGTGGACCCCGGCCAGGTTCTCATACGTACCTCCGCAGCGCATACGCAGCGCGCGCACTATTGACGCTTCTCATCTCTTATGAACGAAAAATCATTTTTAACTTAAGATAGGAGTGAGACAAGAAGTGGAACCTTCTGTTCTCACCTCGAGAAAAGCTTAAGCAGAAAAAAAAAACGCGTCCAGCTTCCACTAACACTTGGTTCCTTGTCATTCTTATGCATACCAGTATAAAACTACCACTGATTGGTGAAAATCGTAGAGATAGCGGAAAGAGGATTACTTTTGGAACGACTCTTCTGCAATCATTGAAAAACCAGAAGCATAAGCTGGAGAGCGTAATTATACAAGCTGAAGCTTCAGTGCCGCATTGAAAAGGAACTAAAAGATTTAGACAAAACAAACTCAATCGGACAGATACGTTTCTATACAAAACAAATTCAATCGAATAGATACGTTTGGTCTGTGATAGTTACTCTGAAGAGAAATCTCTTCAAAATATACTTAATCTCCTTATTGCGGAGGAAAAAACGAGAGCTTTTGAGACAGAAGCTCTCAAGACTTTTGAAACTCGTAAAAACGTGTCATCATCAGCTGGTGTGGTTCGTTTAACCCTGAAAGAAAGAGATTACAAAACAAAGTTAATAAAGAGAGGAACGCATAGAAACCAACAGAGCCTGGGACGAAAAGAGCACTGAAAGCATGCGCTGAGTTCGCGGCGCGGAGGAGCACATGGGAAGCTGGCCGGGGTCCACACTATAATATCAGTTGCCCTACTCCTTCTGAAACAGAGCAGTGGCAAGAATAATTATACTAATCGGAAAGTATCAAAAAAAAGTTGCATAAAGTGCTCTAATACCCAGCACTGACCAATCTGGGCACTTTTTAATGATTTTGCTTCAGTTGCATGTACAGCTTTTTTCGACCCAAAACGTTTATAACTCAGCGTCCAAAGACACACAGATGATATCAGATTTGGACAAAGAGACAATAAAACAAGATAAGGATTAAAAATTGTTACAAAATTAAATTAGTGAAAAAACAAAAAACATAAAAAAGGAGATATCCGTTTCGTTCCTGTTCTTAGACGGATAAATATGATTAGTTAGCCATCCCCGAAACTCATCAGTAAGGAGGGAGGGCCTGTGTTAGTAGAAAATACAAAAAACTCACCTAATCCTTATTCTCGACAGCTTTGCATCGAATTAGACGAATAAGGGGCGAAGTTGACGAAATCGCTCGACCCTGCAGAATACGCGTAAAATAAATGATATCAATCGAGTTGGCGCGTCATAATTTACGATTTTTACGCAGTCAAATTCGTGTAGCAGTGTTTGATTGGATATTGATTATTGATTTCATTCTTGATTCTGAGGTAACTTGCTTACCTCTCAGCCCAATTGGGGCTACTCTTTTGTTTCCGGTCAATTGGGCGCACTGTCGCATAGACAGTTTACTTAGTTTACAAATTCGATTTTTACACTTACAACTCTTCAACATTTTTTGACGCGTATAGTTTAATTCATAAAACTTTATTTTTGCCATATTTTGTGGTTCAACTAAAACGACTAAAACATCAAAGTAGTGATAATTGATCTTATTGTAACATTCTCTTTTTAATGGAAGGTTCGTCTTCAACAGGATCACTTGATCTTTTCTTAGAAGTAGTTGGACGGTCCTTAATTACACATGAACTAATGATGAATATTTCTATATTTTAAAATTTACCTCGTCTTCTTGATTTTCCTTCTCTTCCTCTTCATTCACTACATTTGTTCCATTTGCAATTTCTCCTTGTTCATCCACCATTCGCTGATGCTTGCTCAATGTTATGTCAGGTAGTTGCATCGATCCTCTTTTGATTTACCCTTTCTAAATATTCGTCATATTTCAAACAAATTTGCTTATTTTTTACCTCCAATGGTTCCTTTCCTTTTCAGATAGTAATTGTTCAATTGGAAGTCCGGACCACGCCTCAGTATCAATGTCCAACATGATTGCAGCAATTGCGGGCTTCACTGGCTAGAAAGTAAGTATTATATCCCTTATATTTACTTTAATGTATACTTATTCAACATACCTGATAGTCTCCAATTTTAAAAAGGCTTTTCTTCAAGGTTACTTCTACTCCCTTCTTGTTGATTCTTTTATACTCGTCTCTGGTGATTTTTCTTATATAGAGTCTAAATGATATTTAACTTTACTTAGATAATTTAGTTGACTTTGATTCATACCCTAGTCTGTCCTGATCCTCCAATGTGATGGTCTTTTCCCTTGAGATTTATATCGGTGCCATTGGTGCTGTTGTATTCGTAAAGTGTCTTCCTTCCCTCTGACATGAAGAACTTCCAAAACTCATATGAAATACGAGCCTAAATATAAAATTACATAGAAGTAATTAATGGTTTATGTTAATCTTACCCGGATTGCGAGTAGTCCTCCATGAGTACCATCAGGTACTGGCCAGCTAAAGAGTTGAGGCTTGTTGTATCTAAAATAGATCTACTTACTCATGTAATGATTTCCAAGAATAACTTACTTCAATATATCAGTTGCAAAATCTTCAAGTAAGCGATCTATTTTTCGCTTACGGGGATTGGGAAGGCCAGTTACTCTGACCAGTCAATAAGAGCTTTCTTATTGACATTCTCCTGAAACTGAGCGATCCTTTTCTTAGCTTCTTCAGGTCCCATTTTCCTGAAAATAATACATACTTAGTACTCTAATCTTACGATATGTAATGAAATATCCAAGTGTAGTAGGGGAGAATGGCAGAAGTAGACGATTAACTTCTGAACAAATGAGACTAATGGATATCATGATAGTTTATCATCTTATAAACGACTAAGATTAGCAAAGATATAAAGGTATATGGTATTTTCTTCTACATGATTCGCCACAGGACATACATTACGGACCACTTAATGGTCCTTTAGGTATTGTTGCTACAGTTGTTCACCTTAGTACTCCTTTACTTGTTTCTTTCAATCATTACACTAACTTCTAAGTTAGTTAGGGTACTTTATGGGGGGGGGGTTAGTTTTTCATCGTAATTATAGTCCTTTATTAATTCCTAATCATTCCTTGAAAAGAGGGCCATACCTCTTGTTCCCGAAAATAGGGGGGGGCATTTGACGGGTAATACCAGTAGAGGTAGGCTAAGGGGGTGTACTTCTACGACTCCATTTGCCCCTTTTATATCCTTTACATATTTAGCTTATTCAATCTTTGAAACACCACCTGGGTCCGCCATAAACCCTGCAGCAGCCCAGCTCAATTATTATCCCCCTGGCTACATTTCGGTGTAGGCCTGCCCTTTGTAGTCTTTTTTAGTGGTCTGCAAAAACTATAAATTACGATGGTTTCTATTTCAGGTGTAGTTCCTTTCATAAGAGTAAGGTGAACAATACATACATATTAGATAATTTTGGTAATGATAATGTGGCAACATACTGTTCAAGTAATTGTTCTCAATGTGGCTCAATCAATCGTGACCCATTTATAACTGCTAACTCTACTAAACTTAAGATTTTCATTCAAATAACCACCAATGCTACATGTACAAGTAAAAACCTCATCTACTGCATAACTTGTGTGAGCGGAAAGCAATATGTAGGAATAACCACACGAAAATTCAAAAGTAGAATGATAGAACATCTTTATCATATTAATGAAAATGACATCAATAATTATCTTTATAATCATTTCAAGGATAAATGTACTAACAAAGAAGTTATGTTCACAATTTTGGATAATCTTGAAGGAAATGAATATAAATCAGTTCTGACAGACAAAGAACTTTTTTGGATCAAACTTTTGAACACAGCATATCCTTTCGGTCTAAATGATAACATCAAAGGATATGGAAACATATCCAATATTGATAATCCTTTACAACATAAAAGTAATCATCCATATGTTTCATTAAGCGTGACTAAAACAGATATAGAAGCAGTAGACGACGTAAAAATAGAAACAGAGAAACCATTCAGGAGTTCATACAAAAAGTCAATAGTATAAATACAATTTCATCCTTGTATACTTACATTAGCTCTCTAAAAAAGAATTTCATACAACATATAATCAGACTTACTTATGATCCAAAATTTTTAGAGTGCTTTGTTGATGACATAAGAATATCATTACTTAGGATTTTATGTAAATACCCTTTTAACCATAATGTATTATAATCAAAAAAATCATATGATAACAATAAATATATTAGGTCATTCCGAAAGTAATTTCGCTTTTTTCGAACGGACGCCACATACGATGGAACAAAGATTTCTAAAAGATTTTGGTAGCATTCGATGCAGAATTTCATTCACTTTCTAATGGTTATGAAATTGTTGCAAAATAGTCAATGAGCTTTCAGAAAATAACCAAACTCTGCGACCCATGCTTTTTGAGATAGTCAAGTTTCACAATTTCTTTAAACTTTTATATCAATTCTCAGAAGAAGTTCAAGTGAAGGTTCGATAGAGCAAACCTCATAAAATACAGTGCAACTTTCTCCTTTCCATAGCTTGTCATACATTTTTAACAGAATTTTAACTGATGCTACCGATTTCCATGCTTGGGCAGCTAAATCCTCGTAGAACATCAAAAGAAGAGCAGCTCGCGCACTATTCGATGCAGCATTTTCTCCTCTTTCTAACAGGTGTTTTTTGTTTCCGATTCGTTTAGTTTTCGAGGATGAAATCATCATAATTCATTTCTTTAGCGAGCCCCGTGCTGTACCCGAAAAACTCGAAATTTGATATTTCGAACCCGTAAACCCTCACATGCTTTGTAAAATGCATACTAACTCATAGTACCCATCTTGGAAGTTTCAAACTCCGAAAAATGTTTGATGCGGTTGTGGCTGAGGTGGGCCTACTAAAATCCGATGGTTCTGTTAAAAAATCTTCTAAAAAATTACGGCGAGATACGAGGAAGAGAAAAAAGTGATATTGTGTTCTATAAGATTTACTCTATCGAATCGTCACTTGAACTCCTTCTGAGGATTGATATGAAAGTTTTAAAAAATTGTGAAACTTGACCATCTCAAAAAAGCATGGGTCGAAGATTTTAGATATTTTCTGAAACCTCATTGATTGTTTTGCAACAATTTCATAACCATTAGAAATAGAATGAAATTCTGCATCGAATGCCTCCAAGATCTCTTAGAAATCTTTGTCCCATCGTATGTGGCGTCCGCTCGAAAAAAGCATTACTTTCGGAATAACCTTATATAAATGTAAAAGCTAATTACATTCATAATATATTAGGTTGTCCCGAAAGTTTTCTCGGTTTTTTCCATCGCTCACCAAACCTTACAGAACACCAATCCATGGACGGCCTAGGTGTCATTCTATTCATTTTTGTATCCTCTTTCTTATAGCTATATTTGTTCCCTGATCTACCCCGTCTTTACGATGTTATCGCCATGGCTTTTTGAGCACCTCAGCAGTAGCGCCAAAAATTTCCTGAATTTTCAAAATTTTTATCTTGATATTTTCGATGAGCGCTGGTGACTGTTATGTAGAACAAACCTTTAGCTACATTGTACCTATTTTAGATTACGTGGTCCACGTTTATAATGTGCGTAATAATTATTTATTTGAGAAAAACCGCGGCTTTTTGAACACGTTTTATCACGTAAAATTACCGAAAATTACAAAAAGCTGATTTTTGAAGAAAATCAAACTTGGCTATGTTGCATAAATGATGTTAAATAACAAACAAGTTTGAATTCGCAAAAACTCAAAAGCTTTCATGCTTTTGCTGCAATTGCGCGTTTCATGACTTTGCTGAAAACCAAGGCCTCCGGAGAAATAATTTTTTGAAGTTAAAATCAGCAGATTAGGAGAATCTAAAAATATGAGCTTGTAGCCCGAGAGCTGCTCTATTTGACACATGCTTAGTCTTTTTCGAAACTTTGTAATGAAATTTTTGAAAATTAGCTCAACTTTGTGCAGGTAAAATTGACAGGTGGAGAATTTTGGCAATTATCAAGAAAAGCATACAAGACTATGGTATGAAAGTGTATCCATAAGAAAGAGAATGAAAAGCTGCATCGAATGCACGTTGAAACTCAAATCTTTATTGTGCGTGGTTTTACAGTTGTTTGAAAAAACCGAAACTTTTGGGACAACCTAATACTAGATAAAATCAACTTCAATAAGATAATAAATAATGGTTATATTAAAAATGTCATTAATGATAGTAATCATTACAAAAAAAAACTAGGATAATCTTTTGCTATAAACCACTTATATCACAAAAGATTTTCAATTACAAAACTACAATAAGAGCACTCGATATTAATAAAATGCTAGATACTGTACATAGGAATTGTAAATGTTCTGATCCTGATTATGTGGACTATGTCGACGCAACTCATAAACATATAATAATTGGTAACTTACAGATTATAAAGGATCCACTACTCAGATCAATAATGGAAAAGGATCAAACTATAGAGTTAATAATCACATCAATAAAAACGATATAAATGTTTGGGTCACTGACATTATTAATGAAATTTTGACACAATACTCTAAGCATTATAAAATAAATAACAATGTTAAAGAAATGATTAGGAACTATCTAAAAGAAGCTTTCCAGAAAAGATTTAAGCCTTTGTTGTATGAAGATAATTTAAAGGGTGAAAAGATTTTCGACATTCATAATAAACAAAATAGAAAGTTGTTTGACAATTTTATTGTACTAGGTCATTCCGAAAGTAATTTCGCCTTTTTCAAACGGGCGCCACATGTGATGGTACAAAGATCTCTAAAAGATCTTGGCAGCAGTCGGTGCAGAATTTCATTCTCTTTCTAAGGGTTATGAAATTGTTGCAAAACAGTCAATCGGGCTTCAGCAAATAACTAAAATCTGCGACCCATGCTTTTTGAGATGGTCAAGTTTCACAATTTTTCAAAACTTTCATATTAATCCTCAGAAAAAGCTCAAGTGACAATTCGATAGAGCAAACCTCATAGAACACAGCCCAACTTTTTCCTCTTTTCGATAGCTTGTCACATATTTTTAATAGAATTTTAACTGATGCTACCGATTTCCATATTTGTACAGCTAAATCCTCGTAGAACATCAAAGGAAGAGCAGCTCGGGCACTATTCGATGCAGCATTTTCTCCTCTTTCCAATGGGTGTTTTTTGTTTCCGATTCGTTTAGTTTTCGGGCATAAAATTATCACAATTCAATTTTTTAAGGAGCCCCAGGTTGTACCCGAAAAACTCGAAACTTGATATTTTAAATCCGTAAACTCTCATTTGTTTTATAAAATCAATATTAAGTCATATATCATCTTGAAAGTTTGAAATTCCGAGTAATTGCTGATGTTTGATGCGATTGTGGCTTAGGTGGGCCTGCCAAAATCCGATGGCTTTGAAAAAAAAATTTTTTTTAAATTATGGAGAGCTATGAGAAAGAGAAAAAAGTAGTACTATATTCTATATGGTTTACTTTATCGAATCTTTACTTGAACTCCTTCTGAGGATTGATATGAAAGTTTAAAAAAATCGTGAAACTTGACTATCTCAAAAAGCATGGGTCGCAGATTTTGGTTATTTTCTGAAAGCTCATTGATTGTTTTGCAACAGTTTCATAACCTTTAGAAAGAGAATGAAATTCTGCATCGACTGCTGCCAAGAAGATCTCTTAGGAATGTTTGTTCCATCGAATGTGG